AGAAATTACAAGACTGCCTTCGGTTGGGTGACAGAAGATAATAAGTCTACTCTAAAAGCCTGGAAGTGAGATCCAAGCTGAAAGTAAGGACTCAAGCTCCTCTGAAGAACAGAAACAAATTCATCCTTCTTTATTTCCCCTTTATGCCATCCAAGGGATGAACCACCCTAGCTTGCGTCTTCTACACCCTACAGGGTAGAATTGTTGAGCTGATCAAATTAAGCTTTTAAACCTCTCAGCCAGGGATATAGTTCAGTGACACAGTGCCTGCCTGGCAAGCTCAAGGTCCTGAGTTCAATTCCGGGTACAAAAAAAAAGCAAAAGTTAAACTTCTCAAATTAGCACCATCAGTTATTACATAGGTTTCAACTGAAACTTTCTGAGCTCTTCCAAGAAGTGATTCTTCCCATCCACAAGGAGTGAATCAGGTCATTTTTAAAAAGATTTATTTAGTTCACAAATAGATATGAAAAAGAAGGCTGAAGATATTTTCCCTAGCCCAATAACTTTTTAAGTATATGTGTAGGCACAGTCATGTATAAAACATATTTCTAAAATGTTCACATTCAAAAACTATCAAGTACCATCTGTGTTGAAAGAAGCAATAAGAAGGAAAACAACCAACGGAACACGATGTTTCTGATAAGGCGCATTCTCCAGGGAAACCCTGCGCTAACCTTAGTTTCCTTCTTTTTTTCTTTTTTCTTTTTTTAGTTTCCTTCTTACTCCATTAAAAGAGGCTTTTGCCAAGCCAGCCTCATTTTGCCTACTCTGAGCAGACTGCCCTGTCTGTGTGTTCTTTCAGAGATCATGTGAAATCTTCAGTGATCAAGATTCCATCTCAAAATACCTCTTTCCTTTCCGAGAATGTGCCCCTGCTCGCCATCTCTCTCCTTTCTGATATTTTTTCTGCTCCCTACTTTTGCATATTTTTTCCCTCTCTCCCTCAAAGCTAAGCAGTTCCTGTTGTCCTCTGCTCCATGAGTGTCCTCGCAAATGTCCTTCTCTCCTGGTATCTGCCTGCTGATAGCCAAGTTAACTCTGAGAGCTAAGCTGAGTTCCTTGGGAAGGCAGTGCAGGAGGTCAAAGGGGGAGCGGCCAATCCCACAGACGGCAAATGGCTGTGAAGCAAGAAGCGGAGGGTCCAAGAATCCTTGGTGAAAAAAAAAAAAAAA